TTTATTTGCTTAATATAATAGTAATAAAAAAAAATAGGAAGATATCCAAAGATGGGGACCTGAAAGATAGAACAAACTTACCGATACAAGTAATGATGGAATTACTAGGATGCTGTGTACAAAACTGCAACTTCCAACTAAAGGACGAATTCTTTATGCAAGATGAGGGACTGCCAATGGGATCGTCACTTTCACCGGTTATAGCCAACATATATATTGAGTGGTTTGAAACTCGGCCATTGAAGAAGCCCACAAATAGCCTCGAGTCTGGTTGAAATACGTTGACGATACCTTCATAGTATGGAAGCATGGAAATGCAGAACTAGACACCTTCCTGAAGCACATCAACAACGTAAGTTCTTCAATCACTTTCACAATGGAGAAGAAAGTCCACAACGAATTGCAATTCTTAGACGTATTGGTGAAGAGGACGGACACGAAATGGGAAACGTCTGTTTATTGAAAACCCACTCACACAGGACGATATCTGAACCAGGAATCAAACCACCATCAATCGACTAAGAGAGGCATCATTAAAACTCTACTAGGCCGTTCTTTCGGACTCTGTAATACAAAGGAATGTCTCGAAAAGGAACTGGGCATCATCAAAAATGACCTTCAACGAAATGGTTACTCCAAAGTAATGGTGGGACAGGCTTTAGCTAGAAGACAGCAAGCGCTTTACAAGGAAGAGAAGCCGCCACAACCGGTACTTGTACTTCCCTACATCAGGGGATTGTCGGAAAGGGTAAGAAGGATTGGGTCCAAGTATAACATCAGAACCTGCTTCAGATATGGGAACACTATCCGTAGCAGTCTCGCAAAAACCAGGCCAACAAACACGGACTGCGATTCCAAGAATTGCATTTACCGGATACCCTGCGAGTGCGGAGAATCATACATCGGTAATTGAAAGTTCTCATTGCCGAGCATAAGAAGCACACACAGCGAGGAGAAACCAGCAAATCAGGGATAGCAGAATACGTTTGGACTTTTCAACATGACATCAAGTGAGCTCAAGCTGAAATCATCCACAAGGAAGAACACTGGTTTAGGAGAAAATTCAAAAAAGCCGCATATATGTTGTCCAACAACGCATTTAGCCAAGAGAGCGTAGAGATACGCAACATATGGAAACCTCTAATCAAGCGGAACACGACCAACTCCCGCCAAACGGTCAGCTTCCGCTAAAACCGATGAAGCGAAGAGAGGGAATAGGGGACAGGTGAAAGCACTCGAATGACCTATAAATAGGTATATCTCGGAGAAATAAGACCAGTTATCACCCGAAGACGATTGTAGATACTAACAATCGAAGTAACTTGGTTTGGAATCTTTTTTAAATTTTCATTTCTTTTTAATAATTTTTTAATTGTTTTTTGGTTGTTGCTTGTATTTCATTTCACTGTAATTTCAGTTTATTTGCTTAATATAATAGTTATTTTTCAGCTAATCTCTTTTTTAATTTCTTACAGATTCTTTCAGGTATTTCAAATCAATTTATATTATATTAGACAATGGAAGTCCGATCTGATGAAATGCACCAAGAAACATCCTTCAACTAGTTCTAACAAACTAGATGATTATAATCAACAGCACTTTATTGTGAGATTCTAACAAGTCTATAAAACTTTTCACTACACTAGATGAAAAACAAAATAGAGTTAGTTTCGAAGTCATGCATGGCTACATATTTTTCAATATTGCTACAAAAACCTTGACCCAAAATTATTAGTTCATTAAGATTCAAAACTTTCTTGTAATTTTCTATATGATAATAGACAAACGCTGAAGGTGAATGGAGATACAAACATAATTAAGAACAGGACAGCAGTTGTCTTATAAGATAGCACATTTTGCTAATATGTCATCTACTTATGCATGGCTACCGGTATTTCGAAATAGTGTTTTCTGTTGTTTCTAGACGTCAGTGTTGCCTGCTGTCTCTAGACCCGGTGTTGTCAGATGTCTAGAAGCCATTGCGTGCTGTTTCTATACGAGATTTTTGTCTGCAGTTTTTAGGCGAGATTGTTGTTTCTAATTGCGAGTGTTGCTCAACTGTTTAGCCGAAATACCAAGAACAGTGGCTACAGAAGTATATTGAATGGTTGAAGATAGTTTCAGAAGTATTGTTTCATTTGGGAAATAACGGAAATAAACTGAATAATTTTTTGAAGTGGAATGTACCAGGAACTACTTATTTTTACATATTTAATTACAAATGACAAAATAAATGAAATAATATAACAGGAAACTGATTTCTTCAAAAAGACTTACCTTATTCATAATATTTACAGTAGATGGATGGGTCCAATAACAATCGTGTACCGACACGAACGTTATACCAGCCCGTTCGCAATGGATGGATGTGAGCATCATGTGACTAGAGTCCAGAGAGTGGATGAAATTCGGAGGAAAGGCGTTTTTCTGCTTTATCGTTTTGGGCTTACTGTAAAACATATATACATATACATACATATATATCAATCAATCAATTTATTCATTGTAAATGAAACATTACAACGTCGTTATTTCCATAATAATAATAATAATATTTTATTGGTTCTTCTGGATCATAACTCAATGATATAGAACAAGTCAGTGTAATATGATATAAATAAACTTACAAAAAAGAAAAAATTATGTACATATAGGATATGAACAGTTATGTAAAATTATGTATTAAAACTTATAACTAGGTAAAATTATAATATATTTACAACCCTAGATGACAATCTCAATTCTTCAGTTATATTGATAAGTCATTTATAAACTCTTCAATGGAGTAGTAGGCTTTATCAATCAGAAAGTTTTTTAGGAACGGTTTAAATTTTCTTAGTGACATTTTTCTAACATGATTTGGCAATTTGTTAAATAGCCTGACACCCATGAAAATTGGACTTGATTCTGATCTAGCCAGTCTATGATTTGGTATTTCTAACAATGTTGAATTTCTTGTGCCGTAATTATTTTTGTTTAAGAAGGTAAAAGGTCGCTGATCCGATTTTACAAAAATTANATATTACTGGTAGAATTGAAATGGGTCTAAAGTTATTTGGAATATCTTCCCCTTTTTTAAAAACTGGTATAACTTTTGCATGCTTTAGTTCATCTGGAAACACCCCTTCGTTTATGCATTTATTGATTATTAATGCAATAGGTTGCGCTATTACATCACCTAAGTCCTTCAAAATTGTGGTTGAAATTCCAAATATATCTTCAGTTCGTTTACGTTTAATTTTATTTAAAATTTGTTTAATTTCTTTTTCATCCGCTTCAGAAAAATAGATTGATCGGACATTATCTATATTATTATTTCTCAGCATTTCAATAGAGGGAACATTGATTTTTCCTATTTTACTTGCTGTTTCTGATCCTACCATTGCAAAATAGTCGTTTAACTCATCAGCCATGAGTTTAGATTTGTTGATTTTTGTAATATTCGGTGCTGTTTCAGACTTAATAATATTCCATATTGCTTTAGTTTTGTCGACAGCCTGTGCAATGTACTCTTCATTATACCTCAAAAAATTTGTTCCTAGTACCTACAACTTCTGTAAAAAAAATGTGCCCCCGAAATATTCATTTAACCCCGCTGTTTGGTCATCGTGAGATGTATATTAAATCTGACTGTAAATAAAAATAAAAAGCTTACTCAAATTTATCATCAAAGTATGTTTCGTAAGCTGGTCCAACGGAATATTTCTTATGTATCGCATAAGGTTGCACAATGGGGAGACCCAGAGGCGTTACCCATTCAACGTACTGTCCTCCCACACTGGAAATGAGCTTCGCAGATTCCGTGAACCAATCTTGAATTTCCCTCGTCGATGTAAACATAGTTCTTAATGATTCAAAGGTGAGAGCTGGAATTTGAATTCATTTTGAATTTATTTATTGAATTAGGATTCCCTAATATACAGGTTAGCTAACTCAAAATATAATATAATCAACAAAATTTATATAAATAATACAACTTTATATACATAGAGTTTATTGTATGATTTTCACTATAAGGGTTTTACAAAAGTGATATTTTTGCAGGTAGATTTATTACTTAGGTAGACGAATAGGTACTAGGTTATAGTATATATCATTTCATTTCATTTTCATTTTTTCATTTCATTTTTTTTTTTTTTGGTACAATATCTACTATAATAAAAATACATCGTAAACCCAAAGGAAACATAGAACTTACCTAAGCAATGAATGCTTGTATCGTAATGTTCCATTCTTCCATTTGGGTATCTTAATTTACTTTTTTATACACAATAATAATGATAATATTGATAATATTGAGTAGATGAATTTGAAATTTATCATAAGAATTATTTTATATTAGTTAGGTTGGTTAGGATAATGGGAAAGAGAAAATAAGAAAGAATAAGTAATAATTTATAGAGTAATAGAGTAATAGAGGAGTGTGTATCAGTTGAAAATTTAATTTAGAGTATTGTTTTCGAGAATGAAACTTTTAAGGTTTTTTTTTAGTATATGTCGAACTACAAACTACTTTACTTTTAGAGGTAACATATTGTATAGTTTAGGTCCGAAATAGAATATAAATCTTTGTGTATGACTTTTTCTGAATTTGGGATACCGGATAATCTGCGAGTGCGGAGAATCATACATTGGTGAAACTAAGAGGCCATTGAAAGTTCGCATTTCTGAGCACAAGAAACACACACAGCGAGGAGAAACCAGCAAATCCGGAATAGCAGAGCATGTTTGAACTCATCAACATAACATCAAGTGGGCTCAAGCTGAAATCATCCACAAGGAGGAACACTGGTTTAGGAGGAAATTCAAAGAAGCCGTGTATATGTTGTCCAACAACGCATCAAGTGAAGCTAGCGTAGAGATACGTAACATATGGAAACCTCTAATCAAGCGAAAAACGACCAACTCCCACCAAACGTTCATCTCCCGCTAAAACCAATGAAGCGGAGAGAGGGAAGAGGGGATAGGTGAAAGCACTCGAATGACCTATAAATAGTCAGATCTCGTAGGAATAAGTCCATTTATCACCCGAAGACGATTGTGGATAATAACAATCGAAACGCCGTGACATAACTTGGTTTAAAATCTTTTAATTTTTAATTTTCAGCTTTTATTAATATTTCAATTATTATTTGTTTGGTTGTTGCTTGTATGTTATTTCTTTGTAATTTCAGTTTTTTGTTCAATAGACTGTTATTTTCGGTTAATCTTTTTAATTTTTTTCAGGGTTTTCAGATCAATTTATATTATATAGACAATGGAAATCCGAACTGATGAAATGCACCATAATTTTTGAATCTGTTGATGAGTTATTGGCGATTCTTGAGAAAAAATTTAATTTTTTTTGTTTTTTTCAATATACCTGAAGTGGTCGTCGAATGATAAGCAATTATCAAGTTGAAATCACAAATACTTCACTGATGTTACTATTTCTATACGCTCATCTTCAATTTTTGTATTTATGTTGTTTGTATTTATTTGATTATATTTGAGTTTATTAGTGATCATGATGATTGCTTTAGTTTTTTTAACGTTAAGTTTCATTTTATTAGTTTTCAGATATTTTTCTACTTTCTCTAAAACCTCATTCATTCTGCCAACAGTTTCTTCTAAATTTACTCCAGTACAGTCCAACAAGGTATCATCTGCAAATAAGTTGATGAACTCACAGTCTGTAAATAATTGTATATCATTCAGATACAAAATGAATAATAGAGGACCAAGCACACAATTTTGTGGTACTCCTATGTGATTTGTTATACAGTGCTTTTCAGATAAAAGTATCCACCTTTAATAACCTTTGTAATACTGGTATTTAGGAAAAATCCAAAAACACGCCAATTTATGTTGGAAGGGGCAAGCATTATGGCTTACTTAAACTTACTGGAAAAGCCACCCCCTCACCCTTAGCATCATCCCTTTTTTTTAAATTACTTCTCATATTTTTTATGTAAAATTTGGATACTCCTCTTTGAGCTGATTTCAAAAATGTATAATACTTAGAGAAGTAATTTAAAAAAAAAGGGATGATTCTAGGGGTGAAGGGGTGGCTTTTCCAGTAAGTTTAAATAAGCCATAATGCTTGCCCCTTCCAACATAAATTGACGTGTTTTTGGATTTTTCCTAAATACCAGTATTACAAAAGTTATTAAAGGTGGATACTTTTATCTGAAAAGCACTGTATATGATGAGGAATATAAACGTTCACACGTACTCTCTGTTTTCTATTCGATAAATAATTACTTATCCATTCACAAACCATCCCCTCAATCCCTTATCTTCTCAGCTGCTGAAGCAAAATACTTCCATCAATTGTTTCAAAGGACCTTTTGAAATCTAAAAACGACAGCTACAACATATTTACCTTTTAATGAACGTTTGTACCTAAGGGTAACCTTAATAAATGAAATTCTACTACTACTACAGAAAAGGTTCCGATCTCTCTCCACAACAACGCCCGCACGTTTCACAAATTAGTCCGAAAATTAAACGAATTGATCATCGAAATTCGGCCTCACCCCAGACATCTTTCTCACCGTTAGAACCTTTGCCAATTGAGACCAGGCAAAAACGGCCTTCACCGACTTCATCTAACCCCAAACACACATTTTTTGCTGACGGAATCAATCGACTTGTTTTATGTTGGCCTATTTCGATTCACTGAGATAGGCTCATAAAAACGGACAAATCTTTTGAAACAACCTAATGAAAACTATGAAATGATTTTTGAACTATTCCGCTCATTTATTAACGGGAAAAATAGCAATATTCTCACCTGTGAGATAAGTACTTGCCGGCCATATTAACTGCTTGGGGAATTCTGGAATATCTTTCAACTGACGGATAATTTGTAGCTTCGCTCCGTATTTCGTCACACCATAAACCGTCGTCATCACAGTCTGCTTTATTACTTTCCGTTTTATGAATCCTTCCAGGATTTTGGCAATCTGTAATTTACATCATTGAACGTGGTGCTATGCGAATTGTTTCTTATTAACATGATAGTATTTGAGGATGTTATTCCATTTTGAGAAAAAACCTTCATATGGACATATATGGATATCATTACAAGATAAAGCACTAGCAATATGTCCTTCTGATAGATCAGCAGATTGGTCATTGTAAACTTACCTTTGAAAAATCCATGCACGGGTTTCAAAATGTCCTTATAGGTTGAAACTGTAGTAACGTTAGTTACAAATAAAAGTGGTAAAAAACATATAAAGTTTCATTTCTCTTTTCTTCATTAATTAATAAAAAAAAATTGTTTAATGTCTAAACAGGAATAAATCCCAATAACAACATATTAATATTATTAACAAGCATGTTACAGTTTTATATCCGCCTATATACACACAATACACATACATATATACATACATACATACACATATACATGAATACAATACTAATTTATCAACTAGAAACACCTGAAGCGAGTACACAAAAAACAAAATAAAGCAAACATTTAGGAGAGTTAAGCAAAAAATTAGGTGGAAAACGTATGTGCAGCAAGATAGGAGAGTAATTGAAAAAAAACATAAGTCAGATAAAGAGCTAACAAGTAAAAACATAGTTCAAGTGTATTACAAAAAAAACATAATTCAGCAGTAATACAGTATTAGTAATAAGCTCACATGGTAGAATAACTTTCAATTTGGGCTCATGTATTTTGACTAGAGTGTAAAAGTTTTTTAACGTGGTTCTTAACTTGACCAATAGGTTCATAATAAATGTCGAGATTTTCACAGAGTTGATTGTAAAGTTTGCTCATTGCAACAACTGGCGACTTGAGTAATATGTTTGTTCTAGAATTTGGTAGATAAAGTCAGTTCATTTCTAGAATTGATTCGTGGAACATGAAAGTTGAAGTGGGAGAGTAGTTCGGGACAGTCAATCAGATTATTCACTAGTTTATAAATGAAAAAAATTATAGAGTAGTAGGTTCTTCGGTTTTGAAGGGATAATAGATTAAATTTATTCAGTAGTATTCTGTTGTCGATGCCTTGTTCAGGGTAAACTCCTTCTAGCTTGTAAGTAATATATTTCATGAAGCCTCTTTGTATAGACTCGATTTTGTTTATGTGGACATTGTATATGGGTGACCATATAAGGGAGGCATATTCCAGCCGAAATTTGACGTATGCATTGAAAAGAGTTAAAAAACTGTCTCTGCTACGAAAGTTCTTACAGTTACGATAAATGAGCCCTAGCATCCGTTTTGCTGAGCATGTTATTGTGTCATAGTGAATGGAGAAACTCAGTTTAGGGTCAAATGTGACACCAAGATCCCTTTGATGAGTGTTTAATCGAAGAGGTATGTTATTTATGCAGTAATCATGAGAAATGACATTATGTTTAAGGGTGTATTTTGGGTATTTACATTTGTTTGTATTGAGGGGAAGATTATTTTCGGTACACCAATTGTACAAAAAGTCAAGGTCTTTTTGTAAAATTAAGCAGTCCTCCTGTGATGTAATGGGCCGAAAGATTTTCAAATCATCTGCAAAAAGAAATTGCTAGAGAGATTATTTCCTATGTCGTTAATGAAGAGTGAGAATTAAAGAGGTGCTAAATTGCTTCCTTGAGGAGCACCACTGTTTGCAATAAATTGAAACGACTTGTGACCCCTATAATCTACGAATAGGATACGTTCAGTTAAGTATGAGCGGAAAAGGTTTAAGAGTTGAGAGTCGAATCCATATTGGTGAATGACTTCATCATGTCCAGGCAGACACCTCTCACTCCGTAGAAATCTAATTTGGCCAATAAAATCGAGTGATTTACCGAGTCGAATGCTGAAGTAAAATCTGTAAAAACGCTCACATATTTTTCTTGATTATCAAAGGCGTCTTTTATACTATTTGTGAGAAAGTTTATTGCATCAGACGTCGATTTTCCTTTCCGAAATCCAAATTGATGAAGACTCAGAAGATTATTTATATCAAAGTATTTTACTAGTTGTTCGTAAATTATGTGTTCGAAAATCTTTGAAAAAGTTGGCAGTATTGCTATCTGTCGAAAATTCATTGGTTCAGATGTAACACCTTTTTTATGAATTGGCAGGATTCTACCAATTTTTAATTGCTGAGGGAAGTAGCTTTCACACCGTTTATATCTTCCGTTTTTTTATTTTCAAACTTGGTTATGATTATTCTCACCTCATCTGTCGTTATAGGCCTAAAGAACATCGACTTATTTGTGTTCATTTTTTTATCCATAAAAGCAATAGTCAACATCAGATTTGGGGCAGTGCAGTAGAGTTGTGTTTATCTTATTGATGAAGAAGTCATTCATCTGGTTAGCTGTTAGATTTTCTGGTTCATTTAAGATTTTGTTTTTTCGACCTGTTTCGGAGTTAATGATTTGCCACACAGTTTTGCTGTAATTATCTGTTTTACTTAATATACTGTGGTAATGTGCTTTTTTAGCCTCCAATAGTGACTCCTGATATTGTCGTTTACAAGTTTTATAGATGTTTTTATACAAGTATTCTACTTAAAAAACATACACTTATTTATTTGCATGCTATTTCCTGAGCTTTTCAATTAATTGAGTTCAATGAATTAAAAAAAAAATTTTTTAAATATTGTTTTTGTCAGATTAAGCGAATCCCTCTAGATAATCGTCAGATTATGAGACAGCACGTCTAAAACATAAAGATGAACCATATATATCTTAATCTGACGCGCTTGAGTATTTCAAAATGGCGAATTTTTTTTGCACATTATAATAATGGCCGCGAGTTTACGTCAGATCGAAATCGTCAGATTATTGAATGAGAGCTTTTTTTGTGGCCCTCAACACCCCCTTTGAAAATCTGACGCGCTCGATTAAATGTTTTTCTTTTCACGAAAATCTGACGCGCTCCATTAAATTTTTTTCTTTTCACTTTTAACCCTTACGTACAACCACCCACATCATGCAAACGATCAGGTTAACATACCAACATTATTAAAAATACGTAGGTTTTTTTTACATATTTAATAATCTATAGCAGCTTCCCCCACCGATGAAAAGGTATATATTATATAACATTTTTTTCTTCTTATCATTTAAACTTTGAAACCTAATATGTCTCAATGACGCTCGAGTAAATCCCCATTTTGCATCGTGGGCTCCCCTACTATTATTATATTTTTGTGGTTCAAAAACGTATGTTCAAACAAGGTTTCCCTGAAGAGGACCAAAAATAACCTCTTCAAACACCATACTCTAGATTTCTACATGAAAATCAACACTTACCTCGTGTCCATCCTCTGCATCTTCAGCCCTCTGTTCCTCGACCAAGTTCACCACCGTGCTGTAAACGTCTTGAGGAGTGTCCGAACGCGTCAGATTGACGCTGTGAGCGCCGGCCGTGTCTCTGCCCAAAGCGGCGTAATGTTGAAGACCGTTGCAGCTGCCGTCCTGATGGATGGCGAAGTGGGTCATGTATTTTTCCGGATCCGGAGAACGAACCGCATCGGCGATTTCCATGCAACAGGCCAGCGTTTGCCATGGATCATCCGAATTAAGCCACCAACGTGATCCAGATAACGGATTGTCGGCCGACTCGAGGATCGAATCGATGTTCTTGTTGGCGTAGTTCAATCTGTTAATGAAAAAAAAAAGTTTATAATTGATTCAGAGCAAAGTTTAGTATTTATTGATTCTCGAATAGATCTTACATAGTCCGATTTTGAAATTGATCATCCATCAAACCTATATTTTTGATATTATCAACATAGAGCAAATAGAACATTGGAGCCAAACCCGAACCTTGTAGGACACCAAAAGGGTAAACTTTCACATCACCACTTTCGAATTTGAAAATTAATTGTAAGAATGACCTCTCACTCCTTTAGTTATATAAAATATCTAGTGAAATGTTATGGTTAACTGAATCATATCCCTTTTTTATATACAATTAGTCGGTTAACATATATGAAACAAGAAAACAAGTAAAACGAAGGGTTCTGGCACATTTGTATAAAGAATTGGTTTAAAATTGCTAGCAAAAAAATAATTTAATTAAAAGGTATCCGCATAAAATTCTTCCAAAATTTAAACAGCCGTTTCAAAATTATCTAAAGTGTTAATTTCTCTTAACAAATCAGGTAATTGATCGAACATCTTGCAACCATTATAAATAACAGAGTCCTTCACTAAAGTAGAGATCGGTTTGGTTAAGTTAATACTGTTTTGCTTGCGGGTAGGATAGCGGTGAGTTATATTGAATTTATTCAGATGTTTTACACACATCGGAAAAGTCTAGGGATATTTTTAAAAATGGCAATAATTTTTTTTTAGATCGCTTTAGGAAAAAAAAACAACCTCATGCATATATTTTTATATTTAGTATGTTATAAAAATTTCCCTAGACTCTTCCGATGTGTGTATAATCAGATCAACTGATCAACAGTATGAAGCTTATGCAAGACAAAAAGTCATTTGCGTGGATCACATGCCTTTGCTTTAGAAATGTATCTCATTGTTCTTTTACAGCAAAACAACCATAAGCCAATTTTTTATTCAAGTTCATTGCATGCTCTTCAAATTTGAAATTATTATTAATGAACACCCCTAAAAACTTAGTGTTGTTATGGCTCTCTATGTAACCTTCATCCAGTTCGATGTTCCAAGAAGTATAACATATTGGTTTTGTAACGTTAAGGGCAAGGAGGTTAGTCACACCAACTTTTAATTTTTTTCATATCAGTATATTTTTCTTTCTAGGTTAATTGTATGTTTGTCATGTCATAAAATAGTGGTGTCACCGATGACCAAGTATTTGAATTTGGTAAGTTGGAATGCATATTGAAATACATCAATACTCAATATTATTACAGTAGAATCTCACTTATCCGGCACTACTAAAAACCAGATGGTGCCGGATTATTGGAGTGTTCAAATTACTGGATTATAGAGAAAAAATCATAATAAATAAAATAGTGTCTTGTGTTTCTGTTTACTCGACATTTTCAACTACACACTATTCTAATTAAAAAAACCAAGTAAATACGTATGCACGTGATAAGTTTTGAGGTAAGACTGCTAGACGAGGACGCAGCGAAGGAGCGCATAGGCGTAGGGGGTCTGACGGAGCGCATAGGCGTAGAGGGGCGACGAAGCGCTTATCCGTAGGGGCGATGAAGCGCATAGGCGTAGAGGGGCGACGAAGCGACTATGCATAGGGGGCGACGGAGCGCGTAGGCGTAGAGGAGCGACGGAGCACAAAAGCGTAAAGGGGCGACGGAGCGCATAGGCGTAGAGGGGCGACGAAGTGCATAAACGTAGAGGGGCGACGGAGTGCATAGTCGTAGAGGGGAGACTGAGCGCATAGTCGTAGAGGGGCGATGGAGCGCATAGGCGTAGACGGAGCGCGAAAGCGTAAAGGGGCGACGGAGCGTATAGGCGCAGAGGGGCGACGGAACGCTTACGCGTAGAGGGGCGAGGGAGGCACGGGCAGATGGTGCCGGATTATTCGATGTATCGATCTATCGGTAGCCAGGCGGTTTGACGTGGGTGCTTTGTTCACTCATGCGAATTGACTGCCGTGTTGGTCGGTGGTTCAAGCCCTAGTCTGAACGATCATGAACCATATAAAATCTCATCCCTGATTTTCTTTTTGCTGTTTTGTAAAATATTTGTTATGTGTTAGGAATCACACGTTAAAAGGTAAGACCTCGTTAATTTTTAGCTCGCACAAGTTTCGACTTCTGAGGGTTGTCGTTCGTAGGGGTGCGACATCTGGTTAACGGAAAAACAGATTTTAAACAGTTTTTTTTAAACAGATTGAAGTGCCGAATTTGTGAGATTCTACTGTATTTATAAAATCAATCATTTGAGGTTTCAAGATCTTTTCAAATATTTTCATAAACAACAACAATAATTGAATCTTTTATCAAATGTATATTTTTATCAATACATTTATTGATAATTATTGATGAAGAAAGACTCATTAAATTAACAATTTCTTTTAGGTTTTTGGGAGTAATTTGATCTTCACCAAAAGATGTATTCATTTTTAAAGATATTATGATTTCTTTTATGTTTAAATGACTTTTTATTGTAGTTTGTGATTTTCATTCATACAAATACCTTTCACGGATAGGTTCCCTTTTCTTCAACCCCGTCAAATTGACGAGATGAATTTTCAACCAATCAAGACCGTCTGGACCGAGTGGCCTCGCTTCGGCAAAAATTAGGAGGGACCTGGCCAAGTCAGAGCCCAGATGGTTCAGATGTGGTGGAATTGGGTAAACTCTCCCCCTGAAATCCATATTATGTGGAAGCCAAAAGACAGTATCGCGAAACTGAAAAATAGTTGAATTACCACGATATGTCGATGGTTTGAAAATGCTCTCAACTTACGTGGTTGGCCAAAGACAATCGGTACAAACATTCGCACCACAAAGAATACATTTCAGCTTTCTTCACTTTGTATTGTATCTTTTCTTTGAAGAGTTGATACTTTTCCAATTTACTCATCTCATGTTTGGGTGCCGTAGGAACTTCCAGTTTCTCTGGTGCCTCTGGAACATTCAGCTCGGAAGAACCACCATTTTTGAATACCTAAAACAATTCAATGGAAAATAAATTGATTAAGTGAGAGAGTTCGTAAAAATAAAAAACCTTCAGTGGGATAAGGAAAAGATGATTGTAACTCATAGAGGAACGTGACATCCTATATACTGGGTCTGTTCAAAAAATGTGTTTCCAGATCAATTTAAGATTTCCACTGTTGTTCCTGTACCGAAAATTAACTCAATTAAAGCTGAACATTTTAGACCAATAAATATACTACCAACTCTTGAAAAAGTGTTAGAAATGTCTGTACATAACCAATTAATTCAGTACTTTAATACCAATAAATTGTTTATAGGCTACCAATCAGGTTTTAGAGCTAGACACTCATGTGAAACGTCTCTACAATTTTTAATAAGTGAATGGAAAAATACAATTGATAGAAATCAGTACATTGTTGCGACATTTCTCGACCTTAAAAGGGCATTTGAAACAATTGACCGAAATATCCTACCTGAAAAATTAAAATATTATGGGGTATCAGGGATTGTTTTCGATTGGATTCAAAGTTACTTATTCAACAAAAGACAAAAAACTAAATTTGGAAAAGAATTGTCAGATGAACTTATAATTGAGAGTGGCATACCCCAGGGTAGTGTGTTAGGTCCATTGCTTTTTATTATTTACCTAAATGATATTAATCACATATCTGGATCACACTGTATAAATCTTTTTGCAGATGATACATTGGTTTATTGTATACATGAAAATTTGGATCAGGCAATTGTTGAAATGAATAGGTCTTTAAATAGCATTGAAACATATTTATTTATTAATAAACTGAAACTAAATGTCAATAAAACAAAAAGTATGATTTTGACATCATCTTATAAGTATGATCAAATTGTTTGGGCAAATGCTGTTATAAAAATTAATAATGTTAGCATTGAAATTGTGACTGAAATAAAATATTTGGGTTTTATAATTGATAAAAATTTAAAACTAAATAGTCATGCTGATTTTATTTGTAAAAAAATATCTAAAAAACTTTTTTTTCTCTCTCGTATATGTCAAAAAGTGTCTATGTATGCTAGGTTGACTATTTTTAAAAGCCTAATACAACCTCATTTTGATTATTGTACAACATTACCTTTTCTACTTGGTAAAAAAAAATAGCGCAATTGCAAAAGCTTCAAAATCGGGGCATGCAATTAATATTGGGATGTAGCCGTTACTCAGCAATTAAATCGATGTTACAGTGTCTAAACTGGTTTTCAGTTGAAGAACGAACGTATATTATATATGACTATGATCTTTATATTTAAGCTGCATAAAGGATTGCTACCCAATTACTTTCAAAAATTCTTATTGAGAAATAATGAAGTTCATGATTACGATACGAGAAGAAATAACAATTTTTACATTAATAAAACTAACACTAAATTTGGAATGAATAGTATATTTCATAAAGGCTTAAACGAGTTTAATAAACTAGCACAATTTGTAAAAGAATCTAATTCAATAAACCAATTTAAGTCATCATTAAAGAAGTATATTAGTGACAGCTCATTATGATATTTGTAATTTTTTTTAATTTTTTAATGTGAACTAACCTAATAATCTATAGATATGTATATTTGGTTTTCCTTGAAAGGTACTTTAAAATGTTACTATATTTACATAGTTAATGTCGTGAGATATTCATGAATTTGTAATTTTTCTTTTTTTGTATATTAGGCTTGCCTACTTAATAAATAAATACAATACATACATAAACTATTGATGAATAAACTATAGCCGGGCAACTCACGTATATGAACAGGTAATTCATTGAAGATATACCTCTTTAGCATTGGTTTCCTTTAGGAATACTGAGTTGCCACACGATAGTTCCTCAAAATCTACACTTTCTATATTAATATCTATACTGGAAATAATTAATTGACCTATGCTAGTAAAATACCTGTTGAACATATTTGCCACCTCTTGAGGATCAGTTCTATCATCTGTTACTAATTTAATATTCACTTTATTTTTTCTTCTTTATATTTATTATCGAGTTTATTACTCTTCGTTGTTTTTTTGCATTGTTACCTGCTTTTTGCCATTCTGCTTTGAAATAAATTGATTTTTGTTTCCATATCTCATTGATAACTTCATTTTTGAACACTTTAAAGTCCATCCACAATTTATTTATATTTTCAGAATTTGGATTTGTTCCATTTATTTTTTTATATATACCATCTCGTTCTTTTATTAAGTTCAATAGATCATAGGTCATCCAATCATTCCCCTTGCAATGTTTTAATTTTATCTCATAACTAGAACCTTCTTTACATACATTTATTACCTTTGTTAGTGTATCCATTGTGTCAATAGATTCACAATTTTGTGACGCACCCCTAAATTTTTGTTTGAATAAATCTTGCTTAACTACACTAAAGTTTGTTAGTATCTTTGGTTTATAAAATACAGGCTCAATATCTACATTGATATTTAATGGCTTATGATCAGACAGAGCATATTTGTATATTGAGACATCACACTTAATATTTTTATCAACCAGGACATGATCCAGTAGAGAATTCGTTTTGCTTGTTTCTCTAGTCGCATTATTCTGGTCAACTATGTTACATACTCTAAAACCACTGAAAAGGTCATGTACGAATTCATTAACTATATGAATACATTTCTCGAAAGTACCGTAAATATACTTAACAATTCTTACCTGTAAATAAACAGATTGAATAATGGCGAATTATCAGTTTAGTTTGACCGTCCATAATATATTGAGAGTTTTTGAATTTGTTTATTTCCATACTCTCCAACAGGTTAAGTTTCAAACCTTTCTTCTGGAAATGAAGGGGCTTGAATTCATTATAGAACTCATGTCCCTTTGTGATTAAATGAGTGGCATATGTGGAATTTATTTTTCCATCCTGGAAACTATTTTTGTGTTCTTTTATGTGGGCTTTGAACATTCTTCCAGTTTGACCTATATAAAACATGACCCACATGATAATTTAAACACTCCCGATTTTTCTGAAACAGAACTTTTATCTTTGTTATCCTTAATGTGTATGTCTAAGTTGTTGTTGGTTTTGAAAGCAATATTTACACCTTTGTTGTGCAGAAAATCTGAAATATTTGTAGTGGCTTGGCCTAAGTAGGTTAAAGCTCTATGACCTTTATCCTCTTCTCTTTGAATTGAGTAAACTTCTTTCAAAGCTTGGCTGTGTAGCTTTTTTGATAATAAAGAATGTATTAGACTGCTATCGTAATCATTGTTGATAGCTATTTGTTTCATTATGTTCAGGTCTTTATTGAAATTCGCCTCTGACAAGGATACATTCATAATACTGTTGATAATACTGTTTAATGCTGCTACTTTGTGCTGATACAGGTGGATGGATGAATCATGAATAAGATCTGTTTTAATACTGTGTTGCACTGTGTGAAGCTTCATAGATGAATAAGAATTTTCTATCTATCTATTCATCATATACGAGGGGGACTATTTTGAAGGGGACAACATAGAAATTGATGAATAAATGAATACTTTTTGAACAGACCTCGTAGCTGTATAATATTAATACATCAATATATTACATACAATTCACACATGCATGAGAACACACATAAGCACGATAACAATTATAGAATTTTCTCCAGTAACTGATGAAGTTACCTTGTAACAAAATGTGTTATGAATAAAATTTATTGTGAAAATTCTATAATTTTCATCGAGTAACTGGTCAGTGCATTCATAAAGTGATTTATAAAATAAACTCACGTGGAGGACTACATCCAATACTTTTTTGTTGACTTTCCACGGTACAGCAGCCAGTTGATTCAGAGCATCGAAATTTGGATAAAGCTGCTGTGGTCCCACTTCCCGCAATCTTTGCCTTTGTGTCGTCGACTCCACAGGCAATCTTATGAATTCGGAAGGCATCAGCAAATAACCACCCAATTCGGTCGAAATCCACGGAACCGGCGGGCAGACCATAGGCATTTCGTTGATGGTGAAAGTGAGAGTTTCCGGAAAGGACTGTCGCACTAACTTGGAGAGGAGAGGATGGGGTTTCACTTCTTCTATTGAATAGCGCGTTTGAGGCTGCATCCTGAAAACGGTGTAGAAAGCTGGCAAGTAGCTCTTGTGCTTGATTTCAGGCTTCAGCAAGTTGACGTCCACTTTCAGATCGAACATGATAATCTGGTACAAGAATTTTCCGATTAACACCAACGTGCTCGGGGTCCATCTCCTGTGATCCATGTTCAGGGTAGCGCCTTCGCCTAATTTAGTGTAGTCTATCCATTGCCATTCTCGCCTGGGGTTCGTTTTCACCTCTTCCTTCGGTAATACGTCTAGAGCGTCGTGAGACGCAGCGTAATGGCTGCAGTAACTTTTGTGGATGTCAGAAATCTTATCTAAAACTCCCGTTTTCTCTTTGGAAAATATTTTATACTTGGTATACACTCTCCAGCCCATTTCTTTGTACAGCATGTTAACGGTTGGACTGTAGGTTTCAGAACCTTCGATGAGTCTCCTCACTTCGTCTAGTATAATTTCTATGTAATCCTTGGCTGGAAGGCACCTCAAGAATATATCCATATTCATGGTGCTTTTCTGGGCAATTAGGGTGGATAGATCTCGGTTGTAAGCAGCCAAAGCGGATTCCTCCCACATTTTGAAGTGTTTCTCCAGAGATGCTCTGAAGCCTAGTACTTCATCTGTAACTTCAGTGGAGAATGCAATATTCTTCACCTGAAACGAGAAAAAACAAATTTAGCACACAGCTGGTATACAACAGAATCAATTTGAGTAACTAAAATGAACACATATAGATGGCGCTAGTCTTATTACATTCACCGCTTGTTCAATTAGTACTAACCTTCAAAAGAAAGCTTTTGAAATTTCCTGATATTCTATTCATAAGTTTGTGAGTTATTGTGCTAAGAGTGACACTACTTTTGTTATTTTCAAAACAATGGATCAAAAACATGTTTGTGTTTTAATTTTACGCTGCTTCTTGATGGGAAAAAATACTGTTCAAACGAAGCAATAGCTTGAAAAGTGTTATAAGGACTCCGCTTCATCAGAAACAACAATAAAAACATGGTTTGCTGACTTCAAACGTGGTCGTAGAGACACCGATGATGCAGAACGCAGTGGAATAATAATAATAATAGCCTTTATTATCCAACAGTTGAAAACCATTTACAGGGTTAACTAAGTATGTTAAAAAAGTAATATACTTAGGTCCTTATAATAACAAAGTTACAATTCAATAAAATGAATAACAAAATCATAATGTAATAAAATGAAATAAAAAAAAAACTATACCAGAAAATTAAAAATTCTTCATGAATTACTGAGATGCAGTGTCAACAATATATTCTAGGGAATCGAAATTGATATCACAGAAATTTTAAATAAAAATGAAATTATTGCAAATGCTAAAGATAGGTGGTACAAAATGGTTCTGTAGAAAGTTTTTGTATTTATAGATCTAAAATGAGGCACACAAAAATGTATAAGAGATAATACCTCCATAGCATCCACATTGTTGTGCAATTATTTATAAAGAAAAATTATTCCAGCAAGTTTTCTGCGTAATTCAAAACTTTCAATATTGAATGTTATAGTGACTACACTTTTCTTTATAATATTTATGAGCGATATAGGGTACTCATGTGTATCTTCCCAAAAAACAATAATCTATGCAGATGATACCTATCAAATAATAGCAGAAAATGAACTATATATTTCTGTTCAGACTGCAAAAACATCTGCTGATGAATTCTCTCAGTGGTGTACAAATAATGGTCTAATAATGGTAATAAAACCTTTTTCATGAATTATCAACAAAAAAACGTTTCGTTAGACTACTGTCCCCTAATAAAAATAAATAATAGGTCTATAGAGCAGTTAGGCCAATATAAGTATCTAGGTTTGATAATTGACCAAAAATTAACCTGGGAAAAACACACTGACTATTTGACGTTCAAATTAAGTAGTGTTTGCTTTGTACTGTTTTAACAAAGCAACAAAAATATTGGGAAATATAGACAACTTCAATAGATTTAGGACAGCTTTTACAAATTATCTTTTATCAAATGCATTTTATTCTGTTGAGGAATTTATAAACTTTTAACATGGTCAACTTTAGAATTTTATTATTTAACATTGAAGCTTTTGGAATTTTTATTTTTTTATGATCGTCAACAGAAATTTCATTAAAACAACGATAAAAATAAAATAAAAACAACAATAAAAATTAATTGGCGCTCCGGGGCGACTTCATTGATTCCACTGGCGCATTTGCTTTTTCAGCTGCAGGAAAACCCGGAAAAACCTGCAGCACCACATCATATCTTCACAATTTTATTATTTTATCTTCACATCAACTATATGAGGAATTTATACAACACATTTAACATTGTAGTAGTAGTAATCTTTATTATAGGATACATCCTAATCTTACAAGACATAATAACTAATTAACAATTTAAATTTCCACAGTGCCAAAAATATTAATCGCTCAACTCGACAGCAACAAACAATTTATGTACCATTTTATCGTTTGAACCACACATTCAATAGCTGCATTCCAAGAATCTTACAATTAGCCAGTAGTAACGTTGATCTTGAGATGTTTAACATCTCCTTGCATTATTTTAAAACTCAATTACGGAACACTGTGCTTCAATGTTTTAGTGTTTATTTTAAGGTAGTTTATAATCAACAAAATATCAGTCAGGTTTCAGAAAACACCATTCATGTGAGTCTGCATTACAAGTCACAATATCAAAATGGAAAGAATCAATAGATAAGGGACATTATATTATAGCCGTATTTTTAGATCTTAAAAGAGCTTTTGAGACAATTGATCGCCACATATCACTAAATAAACTGCAAAGTATTGGTATCAGGGAAACTGTTTCGGTTTTGGCTGACTGATTATTTATCACAACGCAAACAGGTAACCAAAATAAAGGATTAAGTGTCATCATCTCGCGATGTCGTTTTTGGGGTACCTCAGGGAAGTGTTCTGGGACCTATATTATTTTTAATCTACCTGAATGATATAGATACCATCCATGGTTGTGATTTCATGAACCTTTTTACAGGAGATAATATAAAAACACTAGCTGATCAAATGAATAATGAACTAAGAAATGTTTTCAAGTACATGAATCGCAATAAACTAAAACTCAACACCTCCAAAAAAAATATACGAACTTATCAACTGCTTATAAGCTATCACTCATCAGAAAACACAACATTAGATTACAAATTGCAGGTGATGTAATAGAGTTCATAAGTGAATTCAAATACTTAGGTTTCATGGTGGATAATCGTTTTTCTCTTCATGCTCATTTTGATTACATATATAGAAAAATTACTAAAAAAATATATTTTTTCTCATGAATTTCATCTCAGCTTTCGATGTACTCAAAAATTACATTATATAATTGTATAATCCAACTTCATTTTGATTATTGGGCTAGTCTTTTATACTCATTTGATCAAAATAAGGTATCGGCTTTACCTATGCGACTTTATTTAATGCGGAAGTTAATGCTTTTATATTTTATATATCGTGGAATGAGGATTATTTTACAAGCGAATAGATATTTTAGTATATTAAACATGTTGAGTACATTGCAGTGGCTGTCTGTTTCCCAGAGACTGTACGAGTTGGCAATGATATTCATTTTCAAACTAACACATAACTTGCTTCCAACTTATTTTGAAGAATTCTTTACATGTAAATCTCAAATCTATAACCACTCAACAAGAGCGAGTAGCTCCCAAAAATTCCACCTTCCTCGAACTAATTTGACTAGTACGATGAAGTCTTTATTTCATAAAGGTTTGAATGAGTATAACGAACTCCCACTTTGGTTGAAAGATCTAATAAATGTTTTCTAATAAAAAAAAAACTCATGAACTATATAAAATCTCATCCCTGATTTTCTTTTTGCTGTTTTGTAATATATTTGTTGTGTTAGGAATCACACGTTAAAAGGTAAGACCTCGTTAATCCTTAGCTCGCACAAGTTTCTACTTCTGAGGGTTGTCGTTTGTAGGGGTGCGACAGCTGGTTTAGGAAAAAACAGATTTTTTTTTTGTATATCCTCATGTTGAAACCATTCTGAAAACATTGAAAAATGCGTTTCTTTTTTTTCTTCTATGATATCATAATTTTTGTTATTTATATGTTATTTATTTATATATTTTTGAAATAATGCATGTATATTAGGATGTCCTGAAGAAATCAATATTATTATTATTATATGGTATATGTTTTCTCGCTCATTGTTTTTGTTATCTAATATATAAAAATGGATGTTTGTTGGTTGGTTGGTAAGTGATAAACTTCTACATCGCTCGACCGATCATGATGAAACTTGACATGTACAAGTAATTTTTCATAGAGAAGGTTTTTAGGCTATCAATATTTCTGTAACTCGCCACTAGATGGCGCTGTAGAACAATTATTTGAAAGCCCTGTTCTATAACGCTGCGCACGCCTAAATTTGTTGATTCTGATTCTGTCAAAATAATGGAACAGAAGCGATATACTAACAGTACTAATTAGTACTACAACTATCAAATTCTATGCGGGCGAAGCCACGGGCAACAACTAGTCTACTCTAAAATAAACCCCTTTTGAACTTTAAATTCACCCCTTTTAAGCTATTCTTAGTTGCAATTTGTAATTCAGTACCTTTTCTGATTTGATTTTAATTATAAATCAACATTGTGATTTATACTGCAAATGGGCTTGCCCGAAAAAAAACAAGCACAATTCACATCACTATCGACAGCACAATCGTGCTGGATTGAATTTTCTAGTTCATCTTTTGACATTTCCTCTCACACTTGAGAGGTTTACGAAAAAAAAAGTGACAATACAGGAAATAGCAGTCAGTAACGAAATCTCAACGACGAAAACCAAGAACTTTGGAAAGATTTTCATAGAACTAAATATGATTCCATCACATAAATAAAAGATTATTAAAATAAGAACTGGCAATCTCTAGACAACTTACATGCATTGTTCCAGCTTTCTCCAGTTCAATTTGTTGTTCAATTTTTTTGCAGAGATCGGAATAATTTAAGAAATAATTTCCATCTTCCTTTGGAGAACACAGCTTTACTGGTCCTTCGATATTCAGGTGGTCAACTAAACTATTCTTGTAGCACAAAACTGGCGTATTATATTTAGGAACATACGTCGGGTCAACACATCTCATAGCTTTCAAAACCAACTCTCTCTCGTTGTTCAAAAAGGAACCTTCATTCATTATTTTGTCGTAGGTGATGTCGTTAGACAGCGCCTCTTCGGAAAATACCTCTATATTTTTTAAATGATTGTTTTGGACGTTAATTCTCCCCAAGCATTCAAATATTGCTACGTAACTCTGTACGTTCAACTTGTGTCCGTCCTCTTTCACTATTTGTACAACCTCGCTGAGTTTCTCAAAGTCGCCTTTGTGTGCGAAACCTTTCAATACGGCGTTATATACTTTGATGTTCGTTATCGGTACGAAAACATTTCTGATCCGCCCATTGTATTTCTTCACCTTGAACCTATGGAAATTCAAAGCTGCCAACCCGCGTTGGGGATTCCCCATCTGAGAACAAACTTCGATGTAGGAGCCCAAAGTTTTGTTTGTGATTTCTTCCCTACGTTCACGATCCATTGGTACTTCATATTTTCTAGAATGTTGACCTTTCATACTCCCTATAATAAATGCCTTTTCTCTGCTATCTCCCGGAAAGGAACGGTACTCTTTTTCAGGTGCTGGCTGGAAAGAACTGAGAGATGTAAAGCTGAAAGAAAAATTATCTATTTAATTTTTGAAACTCATTGTTAAACCATAACAAACATTAAAAATCATTGATGGAATTATTGTTGTATTTGCTACAGAAGTTAAGAATCCAGTAGTCCAGATGGATGACACATTGTCTTTTTTAATTTTACATATTCATATGGCCCAATAAAGAAAACATATCATCAACTTTGCAACCATTTATTATATCTAGTAAATTTTCGGATGTTGGTCACATTGAAAATAAACAAAAATTTCACTAAATCGCAGATACATTCAAAACTGTTTAGTGAAAATCTCACAATGAAATGGTTCATGAATATGTTATGAATTTTCATGAAGTATCGGCTGATCACATAAATTGCAGATGTAATGCAATAAATTTAGAGAGTTTCTACTCTCTTGCACTAGCTTGAAAATTGTTATCAGCTAACTCTTGGTTGTTGTGTTGCATGAATAACATTGTGTAAATGTAAGGTGGCCTTTTAATGTATCAAGTCAGTTGAAAACCAACTATAAAACGAAACAACAATAACAACAAAAGGGTCTTATGAGTTAAATTTAGCCCCTCTTACCTTTCAAACTCTTCATCCACAACATTGTTATTAGTTTCTTTCTTCTTAATAATCTCAGGGCCTGGTGGTGTGAATTTAATAACTTTTTCTTCTTTCCCGTCCACAGCAGAATCAATGAAACCACCATCATGGAAATTGACTTTAGTATCAAGAAAATTTTCAATCACATTCAAATTGTTATACGTGTGCTCTTCCACAGGTTTTTTCGAAAGTTCTTTCAACCTGTATAGCTCGCTTAAGTTTAGATTGGTGCTAGCTAGTAATTTCAGATCAGCGACGGTAAGTTTTTTGACAGTTGCTTTTTTCTGAGATGAAGCGTTGTCTGTAACTGAAAAATGAAGATTCAATAATTTATTGAGCCACTACGGTATATATTGAATTATGTTAAATGTGCTGAGTATTTTATATTACACAAGTTTTTTCCCCAACTTTTTTGCGTTTCAACACATACACAGTTGAATGCATTGTTTCAAATTTTATGATAGAACAAAATTCACTCACCAACAAGTACATCAGCAAAATATTTCTTTTGTTTTCTTCTCCGTCTTTTCTCTTCCAAATCCAATTTCTTGGCAGTTGTTTGATGTCTTATTTGTCCTAGAATTATAAGTATTACCTCATTCATTTTGTTATTATAACTTACAAATTCATACGCACCTAAATCAAACAACGTAATGTACTCTTTACAAAATAAACCAGTTTTATGGAAAACTTTTGAATCATTATTTACATTGAATACACTTAAGGACGTTTTTGGTAATTTAGGTAAAAGAGGTCTATTCAATTTTAATAAGCTATACATTATTATGGCCTTTCGTTAACATAATTTTTTCCTTTGCTAGATTCATAGATTTTTATACCTCCTTACCACCCAACCTCCAAACTTGTCTAAGCTCCAAAACGATGATAAAAAAAACTAACCACACTGCTAAACGACCGTCGCTGTCAGAGTCAATGTGCTTCTTCTTCTTCATGATTTAAGTGGCCAAGTCACCACAGCAATCGATCCAAATAGAAAAATAATCAGGTACCAAGAAATGGAGCTGTAAAATCCAAAATGTCTCTTTCGTGAACAACAAACATTTGGCTATCAAGCTCTGCATATTTTAGAGTTTTTATGAATTTATTGGAAATTTTGTTTATACATGATATATTGTTCATTTAGTATTTCAATACAACGAAGTTACTCATAAGATTTATTTTGAATTTCATTATTAAAGGTTTACAAAACTGTGACGTGTGTGAATGATTATTAGATTGTTCGATTTTCTTGCCTTACTGAATTGTATTATACATGGAACTTACCTGAAAATGTAAACATAAAAAGTCATTGAAGAAAAAATATTTTATAATCATCACGTCATGTTTTTTTTTAAATTGCACGAAAAGTTCTGGACATTATGAGCTATAGTGACTCATCAAAACAAAAATGTAGTGGAGAAAAGAAAAAAAGTTGGGGGAATTATTCAACCCATACAATTTTCTCATTTTTGTCACCCAGTGGTAGGGAAAAAAGCATTTTATTCAATTATCTGAAGAGAATGCAGAAGTTTGGATTCATTAAATGATTGTGTAGATCGTTCATTCAACAAAATATTGGGTTATTATGTTTAAAGAACGAGCCTTCACAAGAACATTGCAGAAAATTGATTACAAACATTTGAGGACATATACATAAATGTTGAATCGGTGTTACTAACAATATTCATTGCATGAACATTCGTCAGAGTTTGAAATCTCCACAATCAAAATATTGTAGGAAACAACAAGACATCAATAAACGACCAAGATTTCAATAGGTGCTAATTTGAAACTTGTACAAACCTTCTAATCTTTTTGAACAACACAGGACATAATAATCATATTGCCATTACCACTCCTTGTTCTTTCGAAAACATATTTAGAAATTTCGTTGGTGATTTCCTAATTTGGTGACTACTATTTTAATCTTTCATTTGTCATAGTTTAACAATTTTAGGAGAAAGTTTCCAAACCAAGGTTAAAAGCGCACTTATAATTCAGTATTAACATTGTTACCGCGTTGTGGCAAACGAATAATTATTGATACGTGAATGAATTTGCCAGACCTATATGCGATGGGTCAAAAATAGGGTATTATAACTGTACATGTTTTTATTCACATGAAAAGCTCGAAAAGTCGAGGAAATAGTCACAGGGCAAAAATAGGTTAAGTTAAGTTGGGTCACCGCAACCCGCAAGGCTCACAACTATTCACACTCGACCAAATAAACCCAGCTTCTTAACGAAGCCGATTAGTTTAAATGGTAAGTGGTCTTTCAGGTCAGCTGGTAAGAGTACGGCTCTGCCAAACTCTGCTGTTTCATATTTTTTTTCCAAACAGAGGGAACACACACTGTCTTCCGACAGTCCAAGTCTCTGCATATGTTGATTCAGACAGCAGTAACTGATAAATACTTCATGATTAATATAGAAAAGAATTTAAATGATATGAACACAGTCCTAAGTTATAAATATAAAAGCATGAACTTCCGCAATTAATATAGTCGCATAGGCTCCTGGGTCTGTGACTGAAAACATCTGCACCAGAACCTGAAGGTGTTTTTAATCCCTTTGTGAACCAACAACTTTCTCCTCTTAATATTTTCTTCTCTTGGAGATTCCAGTCTTCTCTACTCGGGAACAGTACTTCATAAGGCAGTTCGTATTTGACAGTTGGAGACATAAAGTCAGAGGTGATTCCCAGAATGCTGTGACTTCAAGTGTCAACCAGCAGGCTGTTGTACTCTGCATTAGATTGATTTGTGTATTTGGCAATGTGCACAAGTTTATATGCAGTACTCTTTTCATGCTTTTATTGTTCTATTTGTCATAGTACAACAATTTTAGGAGAAAGTTTTCAAAACCTATGATTCAGTATTCACATTGTTGCCGCGATGGGTTAAATCACGCACACGTTTTTACTCACACGAAAAGCTCAAAAACTCGTGGAAATAGTCACAGGGAAAAAATAGGTCTTCTGGTGCCAATGTTTTCCTTTAATTTTTATTTTCGAATTAATTAGATGTCTTCTCTTCCGTGGTCTTTCCAAATGAAACTATTGGCCCCAGAGCCTTGGCAACTTAGACCATTAACTGAAAGAAGAAGTGGAACTACTGTCCAAAGAGTTGCTACTGTCGATGTCAACATATTTTTGTTTTGGAATTTGATTAAAGTAGTTTGTAATTACATTATCATTATTACTACTGTACACAGCTATATTATTTTTCTGTGGTTTTTCTCAAAGTCTTTATAGAGTAGTATTATCACCAAGGGACATCAGAAATCGTTTAGAAAGTATAAAATTGATATATCATGAGCTCCACCTCAGGAAGTGAAACAAATTCGGAAGGAGGCTTAACATTCGCTCAAAAACAAGCAGAACGTATGAAGAAACTAAGAGAACTTCACAGGTTACGCAACGAGGCTAGAACCCTGAACCATCAGGAAGTCATTGCAGAAGATGCTCGAAATAAATTACCAGCAAATTGGGAGAATAGAAAACGCAGAGCGGAGTGGACCTTGAACGACCAAAAAGAAAGGGAAGAAGCCGCGGCGCGCGGTGACAATTATGACAGAACAAAATTACTGAATGTATCCGCAGTTGAAGCTGAGAGGCTGGAAAGAATGAAGAAAAAGAAAAACCCAGATCAAGGATTTTCAAGTTATGAGGCTGCCGCCCTTCGACATTATAACGGGTATGTAAGAACCATCAACTGGGGGTAGATTGATGTGCCAGTCGAGAGTTTTTTCAAATTCTGAGAAGTCATGTGTTTTCCAATTGTTACTGCTGTTCTAAAAACACATTTTGATGTCAGATTTTCAATTGAAAGTTTGCGAAACCCAGACATGTGTTTTGATATATGGTAGCATCCTCGGGTGTCACAATACTGTTCGTACAAATTCTATGTTGTACTTTTATCTATTTATCTCTCTAGGAACAACTCATAAGTCTGGAGAATAATGAATATCCAATTTTCACCCGAGCTATCTTCTTTTTCTCTATTTTTAAGACCTGTTCTAATGACCAATTTCCTCGTTGCAAACTAAAATCAATAGAGGAGAACAATTAAAATCTATTTGATCATTGAGCAATAATCCCAAATTTTTTTTTATATCTATTGATTTCTAAATATTCCAAAAGGTTTTGAAACTTTCTCTTCCAAATACGTCATATTCAGGATTGAACTCATGTCCTTCTGTCAAAAGATGGCTCACAAATGTTGAATTGGTCTTTCCATTCAAAAACGTACTTCTATGCTCTTTAATTCTTTCGGATAAAGTTCTTTCGGTTTGTTTGATATAAAATTTTGGACAAGAACCACAAGCCAACTTGTATACTCCTGATCTATCCGACACTGTAGTTTTATGAATTTCACTAGTTCGGACTTCCATTGTCTATAATATAAAATGATTTGAAATCCCTGAAACAAGTAAAAAAGAATAGTTGAAAATAACAATTATATTAAGCAACAATAAACCTGAAATGAAATGATAGTAAAATAACCTACAAGTGAAAATATAATAATTGAATAAATAAAAATTAAAGGAATGCAAAAAGAAAATAATAAAAATAAAAAAGAGTGTAGAGATTCCAAGTCACGTTAGTTCACGACGTTTCGATTGTTGGTATCTACAGTAGTAGTAGTAGTTTTATCTTGTCTTTAATGAATTACTATAAAAACACGACACAGATTTTGTACAAATAGTATTGTGAAGCCTGAAGATTGTGTCGTATAGCATATATAACGTGTCGCGGTTTTGGAAACTTTCATATCAAAGTGTGTTTCTTACTTCAATTGAACCAAATTTTTCACTAGTGCGCAAATGCTAGCTGATCGTCCTAGTAGAAATGAGAGATAACCTGACTTAATAGTTTGTTACTATAATTAGTGAAATGGAAATTAACAATATTTTGAATTGAAATGGGTGTATTTCTAGCAGAGATTAACTTTTTTGGAAACTTTCATAGGAAGGAAAACACAATAAATTTCGAAATAAACTCCTTACAAAGATGTGTAGATCATGCATACAAGTAATAGTGTGAACGAAGTCAATTCGAATGGTATAAAAACTAAATAGTTACTGAACGCCGGCAGTATCTTTGTGTGGCATGGGCGGCATTGTATAATTGTACCACGTGATATTATTGACTTCGAATACATTATACTTTCAGATACAAACTGTGATACAATTAGAAACGTCCCCTAATCATGTTTCACTTCTAGGTTGGTCAAAGAGTTGCCACCAAAAGATATGGAGCGTTATGAAGAACAGAAGGAAAAGTATGGTGATGCATTTTATGCGGGGCCCAACACGATAGTCCATGGGTTACACAAAGACCGACCTCAGGCTATCGACAACTTAGTCAAGAGTGTGGAGAAACAGATAGAGAAGAAGTCCAAATTTTCAAGAAGACGAACGCACAATGACGATGCTGATATTGACTACATCAACGAAAGGAATGCCAAGTTCAATAAAAAGATGGAACGGTTTTATGGAGAATATACAGCAGAGATCAAACAAAATTTGGAAAGGGGTACTGCGGTGTGAGGATTCGTGATATGGTTGCAAATCGAAGGAAGGGTGTGTTGCTATCAAGCTGCAGACATTTTTTTCACTTTGCAGGTAGTGAGCAATGAGTTATAGGCATTCAATAAATATATATTGATCAGTGACTTGTGTAATCAATGTGTTACGGTTTAGAGTGAAATTTGATATTATAAGACATATATCACTTTTTGTTTATTGTTAATAAAAATAAAATGGTTAACCTGCGAGAAATGATTGAATGATGTTCCTCGTTCCTAAATAATAAGTAATATTCCCACTCCCAAAATTTCTACGTGGTTCCCAAACTTGAAATATAAACTTAACGTCTGTAGACAACAATGCGCCTCGCATGCATACTTATCACCCAAAACAAATACACATCACACTTGTTGAAAACATGAAATTTTATATCATTTTTCATAAGTAAAATCAAAGCAATGACACTTGCCTTGGTGTAATTTTTGATAAGAGCTCTTGGAAATAGTGCTTCAGTATTATTGTGTCATGGTAGACAATGAGAATATGCAGTCACTATCTCCGTTATGATATCCCTTAAAGATTGGAGAGGGAGGTGATTGAATTGGTCTTCAAGTGACTAATGAATGAATCCAACACAATTGCTGCTTCCACTCAACAGAACTATGTAACATTCTTCTCGATGGACGTATCAGTTTATCTTCTAATGGCGCTCAAAAATTTTGTTGCCAGAAACAAATTGACATTTTTCACAAAACTCGCCAAGTTCATCAAAAATTTTTTCTGTCTGATTTTCAAACAATTACTCAGAATGTGTCATGAAAAAAAAATTGTTGTCTAAAGAGTTGCATGAATTTACAAAATATTTATGTTTATATAGTACATCACTCATTGAAATAAGATAGAATTAAAATTGAAATTGTCATATAGACATACGTAAACGTAAATTTTAGTCAGTTATCAGTGATCAATTGTGTAAATGTACATAACAAATGTTAGTCAGATTGTACAAGTTTAGCGGTGAAAACATCATTATTAAACTTATAAGTGTGTTCGGTTTCAAAAATCTGAATCCGAGTGAGCATGCACAAATTTGATACCAACTGCAGTTAAAAATTGACATCTGTGGTTTTATTTGTCATCATAAAACGTCTAACTTTGGATTTTACAAATGATAGGTGAATTTTGTTTTCAACAACATAACTGTAATTTATAATTATATAGGTGTGATTGATGACTTGTTTATTTTGTGGAAATTCATAATCACTTCGTTCTGTTTCTTTGACAGTAGATTGTCATCCTTTGACTGAAAGTCCATTCCGCTCGACAATATTGATATGTAAAATTGTATCCAGATTAAATCTCGAAGCTAATCGATAACATTTTTTTCTCAGCAGATCTGAATTATCGAAAGCTTGCCGAGCGAAGCGAGTTAAAAATATATAATTAACGAACATACCTAGTACTGGCACTCTCGATTTTTATGTCTACCTGTCAATTGTCAATGGTCCGTTGTCATTTGACTTTCGGCATCATTTAAATTTTGTTTACATACAACGGTTTTAATTTAAATATATTTTTACTTTATTATTACAAATGGAAAACGAATTGAAGGATATATTATCGACCGCCCAAGTCACCACAGCATCGCACCAAAAGAAGTTGCGCGTTCTGAAAAGTTATTACGAGAAGGTATTGTAGTGATTTAGACATATAGGTAGTCTCAAACAGTTTCATTTCAGGTCCCCGAAGAAGAATTTTACAAAGAGCTATTTAAATATTTGAAGAAAATATTATTTCAGAGTTCTTTCCCCACAAAAAATGAATATGTTGAAAGGATACTAGATTTTTTGGCACAGTTTGTGTCCCTTGTAACCCCTGTGAATGAAATTGAAGATGATTTCTCTGATGACAGTGTCCCCGAGCATCCGTTTTTAACCAGAATCGTTACTGAAACGCTGAAGGTAATTGGTGTAAATAGCATACAATCAACATCAATTTGCCATGTTTTTTGAGAGGTACCACTACAAAATTGAAGTTCTTCCTGTCGGGAAACAACTTGGTCAAATAAATGAAAATGAATTGCTCATTGCTTAAGAGTGCTCCGGCTAACCTAGAAACTAAATATAAAAATAAGATAGGCAGGATATCACAAAATGTGTCATATGTCAAAAAAAATTCATCGGAACTGGAATTCAATCAAAGATTTAGGAACCCAAAAATATAATTCAAACCCCATATCACAAACGTTACTTCTAAAGCACTAAAAATGTTAGGTTTCACTCTTAGATCTGCAGAGGAATTATCTCCCTCTTCCTTAAATATCATATATTGCTCAATTGTTAGATCAATCAATCGAATACAACTCCACAATTTGGTGCCCTTCATATAATGTGGATAAAAACTGGAAAATCATATTGTTGAATATAACTATAAAACTATATTGAACATTCTTAACGTGAAGTTTCTGGCTCATAGGAGAATAGAATCAGATCTTACACAAACTCACAAAATAATCAATGGTAGCAATAATTTCCCGGAACTTGTTGACCTCATAATTTTGAATGTGAATCCAAAGAGAACAAGAACTTCAGAAATATTCAAACTACCCTTTGATCTTACCAACTACGGCCAGAATGAGTCTATAGGTAGAATTTTTATTTCTGAATCTACTTACGATTATTTAAAAAACAACCACCGATATTCCCGATCTGAAAAGAGACTATTCTACTTCCCCAGAATAGTAAATTTTTGCCCAATACCAACCTTGTAGGTCTCAATGTTTCCGTGATAGCGATAGTAAGATCAGCTAAAAAATGACCTGTTTATTATTTTCAGTATCACAACAGCAGTTTTGAATCCCTTAGATATAACTCCTGCTTCTTCGTCAGACTTATTTTGCAACACATCGGTTGTCAAATAAACTTACATAATGAAATATTGGATACGATTCAAGATGCAATGCTTGAACGTGCTGCTGTGAGTATAGCTTTTCTTTCGTTGATTTGAGATATGTGTAATGTTAATTTAAAATTGACTGGCGTAATTCTGATTTATCATTTTCAGGACCCAAAATCTTTGATACGTCTCCAGGCCGTGATGGCCTTGGTGAGACTACAGGAACCCTCCAATCCAGATTGTCCTGTCATCAAAGCTTTTCTCTCGTTAATAATCGATAGTAATGCTTTGGTAAGTTTATCCTATATCTATTTTTCTATTATTGAACTCTATCATTTGAATAATTGATATACAAAAGAGTTGCCTCATCTACTGAAAGTAATAGAAATAAATTTATTAGAAAAAAGGGTCCAAATATACATAAATATTATACAAATATATCAGTTATTAAACAAAATACAAAAAAACTAAAATATATAAGACCTATATAGTTGAATATAGTGTGTAAAACAGCAGTAGTAAACGATGAAGATATTAATAGAGAGAAGAATGATGAACAACTCAATTGGAATAATATTGATAAGGAGCGTTTGGAGAGTTGGAGGGTGTTACTTTGTTAAATTTCATTAGGAAACTTGTTATAGTCCATGAATCCTCTGTGAAATATAGAATTCATTGTTCTTGCAAAGTTAGTTCGTGGGACAACCAAGTCATCTCTTCCTCTTGTATCGTATTTGTGGTGTATTTGTATGATATTTGTGTGAAGCCAAGATTGTAATCTTTTGCCATACGTATAACCTAATCAATTTAGAGAACATCAATCTCTAAATCAACAATTACTCTATTAAATACGTCGCTTGTGTCCAATATTCAGGTATTCAATTGGATAGTACATGACCATTCAACCAGCATTTCGAATTTATTCACAATACACCCTCTAAAAATTTTTTTTCACCAGTCGTTCCTAATATTTCCCCTGAAACAGGAATCACCCTGCGTAGATCTATATATCGGTTATTTTTATTTTATAGATCAGAGCAGAAGTTGTGAAAACGATAGCACCGTTTTCTGCATCCATACCGCAAATCGTGAACCGTCTGAGAGATGTTGACCAGAACGTTCGACTGATGGCTTTCAGGCGGTGCGCTGATCTCGTTCCAAAATTCTTCAAGATCGTCGAACGCCAGCGGATAATGAAGTGCGGTTTGAGCGAGACGCAGCCCAAATTGAAGAAAGTCTTTCTGGAAAATCTGCTCGCCAAATGGGTGCACGCCTACAACGAGAATTACGTGGTGTTTCTGAAAGCTTTGAAACTGGACGCGACCGAGAGTGATATCGTAGCTGCGGAAGATATCAGTAGACAGGTCATGAATTTGCTGTTCAGGTATTGTATTGTCTTTTTTTTTTTTTTGGAGTTATCGGCTTGGGCTGTTTCGGTCATTAGCCTCGTTCCTGGGTAGGCAATGTTAATAACTCCCCGAGCCACATGGTTATTTATTTATTTATTTACGGGTGAACCCCAATATTTGTTTACAATAAATTGTGTAACAATAAAAGCTTATACTATACTATACTAATTATTATAAATACCTGTATGTGTATAACAAAAGACAATAAAAACAGACAGTATTAACTAATAAAATACATTTATATGACTAATGAGCGAGAGACTTGTTTTTTAAAAGTATGCTGGAAATGATTAGAAGAAATTGTGACTTTCTGAAGACAATAGAATTCACAGACGAATGTAGTTTTTCTCGGGACAAGATAATGAATTTTCATAATTATCTCATATGGGCAGATGAAAACCTTCAAGCTATTGTCGAAACTAACCATCAAGAACAGTTTTCTCTCAACATGTGGCTCGGAGTTATTGGGGATGATTTAATTGGGCCTCATTTTCTACCTCCTCGATTAAATGGTGTAATTTCCTTAGAAACTTTATTTTTCAAGAAAATACCAAATTATACTTTTTGACGTCTATTGACCTTTTTTGACAATCAACAACAACTTTTTTTATAAACATATCTCATTCATAGCTAACTAAATGGAACAAAAAATATATACTGAATGATAAACAAATAAACAAAATATATAATCTGTAACATTCTCCCCACCGTGAAAGTTCTTAAGAATTTTCACCAAATTCAACATCCACCCTACAGATTTTGGTTACAGGACGTTTGAAGACCCCTGTAGATGTTTTCACCTCGACTACTCTCGTAATATTGTCCTTTCCTGGAAATACTGCCGTGATTCTACCCAGTGGCCAAGTATTTCTCGGAAGATGGCCATCTGCAACAACTACTACATCGCCAACCGCAACAGGTTCATCATCCTTGATCCATTTTGCACGCTTCGATAAAGTCGGTAAATATTCCTTGATCCATCTTGACCAGAATATTTCTGCCAGCCTTTGAGACTTCTTCCACTGCTTTCTTAGGTTTTGTTCTTCGAATTTTGTTGGAAATGGATTTTCTGAGGGTGAACCAATCAGAAGATGATTTGGCGTTAAACACTGAGGATCGGAAGGATCGGTTGAAACATGAGTTAATGGTCTACTATTAACTGCATACTCAGCTTCCGCGAACAATGTTAATAAAATTTCATCTTTAGGCGATTCTTCCTTTAAAGTAATCCCCAAAATTTTCTTGACCGAGCCTATTAACCTTTCCCAGCATCCACCCATATGTGGACTACCAGGTGGAATGAAGTGCCATTCTATCTCCATCTCTGTCATTCTTCGAGTTAGCTCCTGGTGATCAAGTTCACGGTACAATTTTAAAAGTTCTTCGTTTGCTCTCTTGAAATTTGTGCCATTATCTGAATAAAGGCGTCTGATTGGACCCTGGCGTGATATCATCCTCCTCATAGCCATTATTGTACCATCAGCAGTGAGGGAGTGTGCGATTTCCAAGTGAATTGCACGAATTGTCATACAATTGAAAAGAACTCCCCACCGTTTCAACCATTCTAACCATCTATGGAAAATTGTTTTTGGAATCTTATCGTCCCATCCGATGCCACTTCGCCAGATTGCCTGTAGAATGATTTTTCCCTTAATAGACAAGAATGTGAGAAAGCCCAAGAGATCAAAAATCCACATAACCAACTGCAAAACTTGGCGTTTTGTAGGAATCACCGTACCGTCAGTTATTTCTTTGGTAACCATATGATAAACGACTTTAAATGTAAACGAATCAGATTGCACATCCCACCATACTCCTAAAATGCGGTCCAACGATGACTTATTGAAATATTTTCCGACATGTTCGTTTCCATATTTTGAGATAACCAAAGGTGAATTTGAAGACCAGTTAACAATATCGAAACCACCATTTTTATGGAGTTCAATGATTCTTTCGATTTTTGAGAGTGCTTCTTGCTCTGTATCACAACAATCCAGATAGTCATCAACATAGAAATTTCTCTCGACATCTTTAATCAATTCAGGATATCTCGATTGCTTGGCATTTAAATTTTTAACATATTGTGCGGAACATGGAGAACAAGAAGCACCGAACATCATCACCTGTAACTCGTATTCATCCACTTGCCTATGTTGCTCGCCATTTCGCCAAAGAAACCGCTCTGCACATCTATCCTCCTTGCGAATTTTTACTCTATGGAACATCTCGGTTATATCCCCACAGAAACCCCATTTCGATCTACGAAAGCGCATCAGAATACCTGGTAATAAAGTCAGATAATCCGGACCTTGCAGAAGGTTTTCATTTAAGCTGGTACCATTACTCTTAGCGGCAGCGTCAAAAACAAGTCTCAACTTATTAGGCTTATTAGGATTTACGACACCAAAATGTGGAAGATACCATGTGCGAGAATTTTGTTCAATCGCTTCGGAAGTTTCTAATTTTCGAATGTAACCCTTTTTTAAGTAGTCACTGATTTTGTTGCAGTACTGATCAAAATATGATTCATTCCTCAACATTTTTTTCTCAATACAAATCAACCTTCTCGTAGCATTTGATTTACTTTCAGGTAAAGTTACATTGTCATTTTTCCAAATCAACCCTGTCTCATATCGTTTTTCATTTTCTAAATAAACTGGTTTTTTCCAAAATATCAAGGGCTCTTCTATGAGCAATGTCAATAATTCTATTATTAACGGAAACGCCAAATGTTTCGGTACTAAAAGATTCCCTGACTAGACGATTCAGTTCATCATTGTTATCGCAGGAACAAATGTGGAAGCTATACACATTTTGATCAGATTCTGAAGTGTTACCATGGATAACCCATCCTAAATTAGTTTTAGTAGCAATTATTTTTCATTATTTAATATTTTTGTTTCAGATCATTACCTATCGAGAGACGCTCATCACTCACAAAAACGCACTAATCGTATCGATTAAGTCTGTGTGCGACCTTTTCCTGATATATGGGGCGAGCATTTTCGGCACTACGGAAGACTCTGCCAACACGACGAACCAAGCTAACCAAACGAGGAGGAGGCTGTACAGAAACGACGATGGCGAAGAAATAAGCACCACGTCTTCTAACAGATTTCAACTGGAATACATTATTGAGATTATGCTGGATATGCTCGACGATGAGGTTAGCGAGTTTTTTCTTTTGATTCATATTTTTGGCCCAGTTTGGTGATACGCTATTTTTTAGAACGCTGAAATTCGACACACCTGCGGAACGGCTATCAACAAATTGATTTTGAGCAATTTTCCAGTGACACCGTTTCTCATCACCAGAATCTTCCTGAAATGGTACAATCCTTTGACAGGTAAATATTTTGTAGTCATATACCTACGCTGCATTCGATAACCAGTTCTGTCGTGTATTTACTTATAACAGGTTTGACGCTAACGATAAAATAAATATATGAATAATAAGTTGATACCTCAATTTCAGAAAGGGCCAGATTGTACTAGTTAATGGTAAGTAACTTTATCTGAAGGCTGTATAGAGGAGAGATACATATTTACTATACAACATATAACTACAAATAATAACCTCGTATGATATATAAATACAACAAATATTGTTGTATTTATTTTATTTTTATCGTTGTTTTAACATGTTGCAAATTGTCAAATATATATTTTGAAATCAAATCTCGAAATGATAATAATGATTTACCAATTCGATAAATCTAATCTTTGAAACAGGTAATTTTCCTAACATCTTCAAATATTCAAAAGTGATACCTCTCCACAAGAAAGGTAACAAAGAGATTGTCGATAACTATAGACCTATTTCTATTATAAGTATCTAAAAATCATTGAAAAATTAAGAGTAATTTCAGTATTGTAACTTTTTCAGTGCTTGTGAAAAAAATTGTTATACAAATTTTATGTACCCCCTTTAAGGGGCTGTATCTTAACAAGGGATGCTCCAATGAAGTTTCTTTATATGAAAGATCCTATCTTTTTTTTCGAAGAGGAATCACCTCCTCAATTGTTTTACACTTACACCCTGTATTGTTTTTCTCGAGGATGGATATTACTCGTTTTTTTACTAGAATTTCTATAACTTTAAACAAGACGGGAAGCAAAGCAATTGGCCTAAAATTAGCTGGGTTGTCAAGATCGCCTCCTTTATGTAGAGGAATGATGGTGGCAATTTTTAGACACTACGGGAACATGTGTGGAGAATGAGAGAGTTAGCAGATACATTTTATTTTTCAAATTTCAGAAAATTTGTTGTTTGGCACTTCTTATCCATTCTTTTAAGTTTTTCCTATATGAAAAAAATATTGAGTATTTCTGACTTCTTCCGGTAACAAATCATAAACGAATGGTATTATATAAATGATATTTTTTAAAGTGACACATTTGCAAATTTCCAATTATAATATTTCAATGAATGTGTTATCGTATTACATGATGAGCAGTCGAGATTTAATAAATTGTTGGATCACAAAATGATTTTTAAACAAGAGCAAAATGTTTTCAGCATCATTTCAATGAAGAATGTCATTGAAAACTTATCTTTGGACGAGAAGAAAGTAATTCCTATCCAAACATTGTCAAGCGAAGCTATTAATCTTTGGAACATCACAGTAAACTATTTGAGGAATAACGAAGACATGGACGAGTATTTGGAACATATATTGCCGGAATTGACACCGTTCTGCGTTTACATCGAAAGGTATTCAAGTTGAGTCGCTTATGCAAACTGTTGCCCATCCTTAATTCAATTTTTTTGGACGTTTCTTGGGATTCAATCATCTTCATGCTTTTCCAATTTTGCATGATTATACATAACATGAGGTAGATTCCCCAAACATGTAGTTTTTTGACTTCTAGTGATTTCTACATTGTGCAGGTTGAATGGCCCAAAAAATTCACCAAAAAATTTGGAAAAAATCCACAAAACTAATTTTTAACCATTATCATTTGAATTTTAGTATTCTAAATGAAAAGAAGAAGAGAAATACAGATGACTGGGAGGATCTGAGCTTTCAGCATATTTTGCTGAACTTGTTGGATATTGTGGAAGGGTACGATTTCTCAGATGAAGTAAGTAGTTGCTGCAAGTTTTTTATGACTATACTAAAAATTGATGGTTAACTCAGCACTTAACTATAGCACTGGAGTTACTAATTATATGCAAACATTATGTCTGTCAATGTACAGTGTGGTAAAAGCCGGGGAAATAGTTTTTTTCCGGCAGGCATTCACCAGAACCTGGAGCACAATCTAGAATATCCGGAGCCTAATCTAGATCTCCTAGAATCTATTCGAGGTTTTCTGGAGCATGATCTAAATTTAGCAGAAGCAAATCAAGAGTTAGACTTCTTATTTTCTTGACCCTAGTGTCGATTTTAACGGATCCAGAATGTGATCTACATCTTGATTGAGCTTTGTTTATTTGAAATGTGCTTTAGACCCCAAATTGAGTATCTGGAATATGCTTTTGTCCTTGACCTTGTTGATCCAGAACTTGACATAGATCTTGACTGGGCTTTAGTCATCTGGAATATATCCTAGACCTTGATTTGAGTGATTTGAAACGTACTTTCGACTTTGAACTGGACCTTGGCCTTGTTGATCATCCAGAACGTGACCTAGATTTTGATTGGGCTTCACTCCTTTGGAATGTGATCTAGAGCTTGATTTGGGTGATCTATAATGTGATCTAGAATGTGTGATTTAGAATGTGACCTAGACCTTGATTTGGGTGATCTAGAATGTGCTTTCGACTTTGGTTTTAGCGATCTAGAACATGACCTTGACCTCGTTGATCTAGAAAGTGACCTTGTCCTTGTTGATCTAGAACGTAACCTAGATCTTGATTGGGCTTTGCTCATTTGGAATGTGATCTAGACCTTGATTCAGGTGATCTGTAATGTGAACTAGAATGTGTGATTTGGAATGTGACCTAGACCTTGATTTGGGTGATCTGGAATGTGCTTTCGACTTTGATTTTAGCGATCTAGAACGTGATCTTGACCTCGTTGATCTAAAAAGTGACCTTGGCCTTGTTGATCTAGAACGTGATCTAGATCTTTATTGGGCTTTGCTCATTTGGAATGTGATCTAGACCTTGATTTAGGTGATCTGTAATGTGAACTAGAATGTGTGATTTGGAATGTGACCTAGACCTTGATTTAGGTGATCTGGAATGTGCTTTCGACTTTGATTTTAGCGATCTAGAACGTGACCTTGACCTCGTTGATCTAGAAGGTGACCTTGGCCTTGTTGATCTAGAACGTGACCTAGATCTTGATTGGGCTTTGCTCATTTGGAATGTGATCTAGACCTTGATTTAGGTGTATGAAGGAACCTGCCGATACTTGATGAAAATCCATAACTAGCTTATTCTAAAAACACTTTATTGTGTGTAACACGTGTTGCGTTTTTGTAAAACTGTCTAGTGAAAATCACACAATAAAGTGTTTTTAGAATACGCTTGGTTTAGGTGATCTGTATTGTGATCTAGAATGTGTGATTTGGTATGTGAACTAGACCTTGATTTGTGTGATCTAGAATGTGCTTTCGACTTTGATTTTAGCGATCTAGAACGTGACCTTGACCTCGTTGATCTAGAACGTGACCTAGATCTTGATTGGGTTCATCTGGAATGTTATCTAGACCTCGATTTGGGTGAACTGTAATGTGATCTAGACTTTGATTTTAGTGATCTAGAACGTGACTTTGACCTTGTTGATCCAGAACTTGACCTATATTTTTATTGGGCTCTGCTTATTTGGAATGTGATATAGACCTAGATTTGAGTGATCTATAATGTGATCTAGACTTTAGTTTTAGTGATCCAGAACATGATCAGGAAAATGACCTAGACTTTAATTAAGGTGATCTAGAATTTGCTTTCGACTTGATTTTAGTGATCTGGAACGTGACTTTGGCCTTGTTGATCCAGACCTAGATTTTATTCGGCTCTGCTTATCTGGAATGTGACCAAACCTTGATTTGAGTGATATATAATGTGATCTAGACTTAAATTTTAGTGATCTAGAACATGACTTTGACCTTATCGATCAAGAAAATGACTTAGACTTTGATTTGGGTGATCTAGAATGTGAGACTTTGATTTGGGTTATCTAGAATGTGCTTTCTACTTGATTTTAGTGATCTAGAACGTGGCCTTGACCTTGTTGATTCAGAACTTGACCTAGATCTAGACTGGGCTTTGATCATCTGGAATTCGATCTAGACTTTGATTTCAGTGATCTCTATCTAATATGCTTTATTAACGACAATGTATTATTATGACAATAAAGTATTTCTATTGATTAGTTGATTGAGATGACTTTATATATAAACAGGGATTTTTTCTAATTTTCAGGTTGGCCGCAAGAATTTATACGAGCTAGTCATGAGGCTGATCAAAGAAGAAGACCTCCAGTCGAAAGTGAAGAATAAGCTTATTTGCATAGCGGCCGAACTCACGCCCAAAAACGAAGACTTCACCAGTACCATCTGCCACATCATTTCAGAAATCCGCGAACCTCTGACTGCGTTGACCAGCCAAGAGACCCCTCCAAATACGGACATGGAGTGCCGCGCTGCCATGTTGAGGGTAGAAATCATCACGCTGAGGTGCAAACTAGAAGAAGCCACCGACAAGCAAGAGTTCATAAAGGCAGACTCCCTAAAGAGGAACATCGAAGAATTGCAAGCGGAACTGAGCAACTGCGTGCCACAAACGACCGTCGAGATGGTCAAGGTGTCGAAGGACGATCCCAAGACGATTTGCAGCTGCCTGGACATCCTGGTAGCTTTGTTGGCATTGCCACGCGTTCATGCTGTAACTCCTTCTTTGGTGACGGTGAAGGACGAATTCGTGATACCCCTCTTGGAGAGCAACGTGGTGGAGATCAACTGGAGGGTCCTCAGTTGTCTCAGTTTGTACTGCTATTTGGACGAGGAGCTCGCCGAGCAGTACGCCAAGATTATATGCTTTCCGGTGAGAGAGTTCATTTAATTTTTTTTTTGTGATGCCATTGCTTTGTACTAAAGACTGACTTCAAACCAGTTGAATGACTGCTTATGCGGAAAAATACCAAACATTAGGATCTACCCAAAAGAACCATCAAATTTGGTTGGCGTAATATATAACTATATACAGTGCTGACGTAAATAGTCGCCTACTCTTAATTTTTGAACGGATATCGATATATCAAAGTTGGACGAAATTTACGTAAAAGGAGGTAATTTTAGGGGGGTTATTTCAAGCACAGTTGTGAAACTGTAGTGCAAAATACCTTATTTGACTGGAAAATGTGGCCATATTCTTAGATTTGCGACGCGCCTTTGAGACAGTCGATAGGAAGAAATTACTTTTAAAACTACAATACTATGGAATAACCGGCACAGTACTGAAATGGTTCAGAGACTATTTGAGTGATGTAAAACTATTAACAAAGGTGATTAATATTACCTCCTCCGAAATTATTAATGATAGATAGATAGATAGATATTTATTTTCTCCTTCATGGCCACTATTACATGGATTAGGTAAGTCAGAAATACATAAAATGAAATGTAAAATGTATAAGGTATATATACTAAACACATCTTCCATAGACATGGATTGTGAACGTCAACAAGGATATAAACCAAGGCAAGCTTATGGAAATTACATAAAATATGAATTGTGTACAATTAAATAGCATACAACAGATACAAACTTAGTATACTGGAGATAAAATCCATGTATATACAAATAGACTGTGTACACCGATACACTATTGTGTGTTAGTATACACAGATGTGAGTTATGTATAACTGAAAATCGCAATTAAGATACAGGTCCAGTGCAGGTAAACAATTATACCCACTAATTATGCCAACAAGGTTTATTTATTGATTATGTACTACTATTTACAGTTTTTAAATTTTCAAATTCTTGTATATTGTAGAAGCAACCTTTGTTCATAATCTTTCTCAGTTCTTTTTTGAAGATTATTACGGACGAACATTTGATATTGTGAGGAAGCAAGTTGAAATAAGAACATTCTCTGTAGATTCCAGTTTTTTTTAAAGAATGCGTGATTAACCCTGCCCAGTCGCAAATTTTTAGAATTTCTAGTGGCATACTTTGAAATATATCCGACTTTCTCAAAGTAATTGATGTTTTTTTTGACATACATTAGGATTTTCATGAGATATATACTAGTTAAAGTAGGGATATTGTTCCGTATGAAAGTATCTCAGCATGATTCGTTATAGGAAAGATCAAATATTACACGAATTATCCTTTTTAGAATAGAATAGAATAGAATATCCTTTATTCGCCATAAAAAAATACAATAGTATTATAAGGTTTTGTCAAATATCATATACCATAAGAATATCATAAAAACACTAAATGAATAAATAAAAAATAAACAAATAAGGAAATGAGATGTGAACGATTTCAATATAAATATCACTGTCTACGTATATTGTAAATTCAAAATATCAGTTGGTGTTGAAGTCAAATGATAAAAATTCGTCGATACTATAAAAAGCGTTTTCCAGGCAGATATTCTTCATATAATTTGTAAACGAGGCTGTATTTAAGTTTTTTATATCTTCTGGTAGTTTGTTAAATATTACAAATGGCCTTTCCATCTCTGTGCTATTTCCCCATGACATAATGTTGTAGTTCAGAGTTGAGTGAACATAATATACATTTCGTAGAGATTTCATGTTCAAGGATCTCTTCAGTTGCTTAATCACAAAGCACTGGCTACTGAGTTTTTTGCAGATAAAGTCAATATGCCGGTTCCAGTGCATTTTGGAGTCGATGAATGTGCCCAAAAATTTTGCATCTTCACACATGCTCATCGTGATATTGTTTATTAATATATTGTAGTCTGATTGGTTTTTATGCATTCCAGTGAATTCAATGCATGTTGTCTTACTAATATTGATTAAAAGTTGATTTCTTTGGCACCTTTCATGAAATTCATGTATGACTGTAAGGGCCCTGTTATTTGCTTCTTCTGGCGTTTTGCCATGCACCACTATTGAGGTATCATCTGCATACGTGAATGTCTCTCCCGTACTTATGTGCAAAGGCAGATCATTGACATACAAGATGAATAGTAGCAGGCCTAGGATACTTCCTTGCGGTGTACCCAGTTCTATGCTAAATTTTTCTGATATTACATTTTCTGTCTGTACTATGAGCAGGCGATTGGTAACATATGAAATGACCCAGTCGTTCAGCGAGCCTCGTATGCCCATCGAGTTGAGTTTACTAGACAATATCCGCGGATTCAGTGTATCGAATGCACGTGATAGGTCAAAGAGAATTCCTAACACGAAATAATTCTGTTCTAGTTTTTCGTATATGTACTGTGTGAATTCTGTCGTTGCCGTTTCGGTGGATCGGCCTTTTCTAAAACTATGCAAACTTATGCTTATGCTAAAAAAGAGGTTATAAGATCATATGCAGCTTTTTCGATGACTTTGGAGATGGGGCTAACCAGTGTAATTGCCCTGTAATTTTCAATTAGGCGCTCGTCCCCTTTTTTGAAGACTGGTATTGTCTTCGAAATTTTAAATAGATCTAGATATTGAAAGTGTAATAGTGGTGAAGTATTTGGGAGTATTGATTGACCAAGGAGTAACATTCAAAGAACATTTATTGAAAGTGATAGAAACTATCACCAATAAGGTGAATTTTCTGGTGAGAGTATCGCCTACCCTATTAGATGGTCAAAATTTACAATTTATAATAGATTGGTTTTACCACATCGTACTTTCTGTTCTTCAATACAGTTTCAAGTTGGATCGACTTCAAAAGCAACAAAATAGAGCCATGAGAATCATACGGGGTGTACCAAGAGAAACGCCAATAGTTACATGTTGAGAGAATTGAAATGGATGTCATTAAAAGAGTATGTGTACTATCAAACAATGGTACTGATACACAAGATACATCACCATCTATCTCCAAACCAAAATCACCAAAATCTATTTATCATGCAGGAATGTTGGATTTCAATAATTTAGATCATTGTATCAAAGATTGTAATTCGATAAGTCAATTCAAGGGAAGGTTGAAAATGCACATAATGGGCGAGTGATTTTGATTTTTCACTAGTTCGGACTTCCAATGTCTACTGTATAAAATGATTTGAAATCCATGAAACAACTGAAAAAGAATAATTAAAAATGAATAGCTGAAAATAACAATTATATTGAGCAAAATAAACCATCTTCAATACAGTTTCAAGTTGGATCGACTTCAAAAGCAACAAAATAGAGCCATGAGAATCATACGGGGTGTACCAAGAGAAACGCCAATAGTTAACATGTTGAGAGAATTGAAATGGATGTCATTAAAAGACTATGTGTACTATCAAACAATGGTACTGATACACAAGATACATCACCATCTATCTTCAAAACAAAATCGCCAAAATCTATTTATCATGCAGGAATGTTGGATTTCAATAACCAATATTGGCCAATAGAATAATTGGCCAACTCCCGCCAAACGGTCATCTCCCACGGAACCAGTGAGCGGGAAATGGAAAGCGGGAATAAGTGAAAGTACTCGAACGACCTATAAATAGTCATCTCTCGGAGGAATCAGTCCAATCATCACCCGAAGACGATTGAAGATACTAACAATCGAAACGTCGTGAACTAACGTGACTTGGAATCTCTCCACTTTTTATTTTTTTCTTTTTTCATTTCTTCAGTTTTATTTATTCAATTGTTCTATTTTCACTTGTTTTGAAGTTATTCTTCATGGTAGGAATTATTTCTACATGATATTTGTTGTCATAGAATCCTATGGATTTTGAGATATTTTTTCTGAAAGAATAGGAAAATGCTTGGCATCACTGTTAATTAGGTTTTGTACCCAAAACTCCAGCTTTTTGATAAATGCTTTTATATCAGAAATCATTTCCGCTAGTTCTTCGTCTCTCCCTTGAAGCTGCAAATTAAGTTCGTTTAATTTCTCTGTAATGTCCACGAGAAAACCAAGTCCTCCAAGCCGGATTGAATTTTCTAGTTTCGGGGTCGGTTCATCACGTTTGAAAAATTGAACTATGCCAGATAGGACATCATTAAAACGTTTCAGCACCCGTCCTCTACTTAACCATCGGACTTCATAGTGAAGGAGTAGGTCCCCGTATTGACAGTCAACTTCATCGGCCAAGGTTCTGAATAATCTTCTTTGTAACGCTTGAGCTCTAATCTTGTTCACAATTTTTACCACCAGTTTCATAACAAGGATCAACTTCAGCCAATTCTCGGCAGTCTGATAGAAACTTACACGAGCACCATTGCAACAGCGCGAGACGTTATATCCAAGGCGGTTATTCCCATACTAACGAGCATCGCAAGCGCCCCAGTTACGAGTCCTCTTGCCGAAGTCGACGTCGACAATTTGATTCAGTTCCTTTCGGCCATCACCAACTCGAATGACACAAGGGTGAGTATAGAGATCGGTCGTGATTAGGGTATGTAATTGATTTGCTTCAAAATATTTTTGATTTCTGGAATGAACTGAATTCAATAACTTGAATGAGCTTATTCAAAAAACAAACTTTGAAGTGAGATTTTCACTTGGAAAGTTTACAAAACCGCGGCACGTGTTACTATACAGCGTGACTCACGGTCGATGGTGGGTTAGACGTTTCTGGAAAACGCAAAGCATGATTTTTCTGAAAATTTCACCTCTCACATTTCCTTAC